GCGATTGTAAAATGAGAGACGTGGGTGGGGGAAGAATGACCCCAGCCCACATTATATATTCGGAGAAGGCGAATACCGCGCTTCGACGATGCACAAAATTGCGTTACAGTCAGCTTCGCTTTCACAATACGCAAATTTGAAAGCGATAAAACGCTTAAAAAAAATTTATAACACTAGGAAGGGATGCATGCATGCATGCATGCATGTAACTGAGCGAATTGACATCGTTAACACTGGTTCTGGAATTATAAAAAGAGGAGGTTGGTAACAGAATTCAGACAGATTCTGTTGTGAGGCTCGTCTTACTAGAGAGGCTGTAGGAACACACTTTAGTAAATAGAATAGTAAGGGCAAAGGATGAACAAGCATGCCAGACCTTACGTGAATTTGTTACGTGTGCAGCCTCGGGAAAAGCGAGGAATGCACTGAAGGGGAATTTATTGATTGAATAGCAAGTTTCCGTAACCCGAAGATTTGAGGGCTGAAGCGTAAGGGGAAGTCGTTGTCGCTCTTTCTTGAAAAGCGTGGAATTTGTCGGTGGGGCTTGTTGATTCACGTTGACTGATTGATTGGCTCCCCTTCAAAGTTTCAGTGGATCAACTAGTGCCGTACGTGCTTGTGTTGTGTAAGTGTTAGTCCGCAACGTGTTTCTATAAAAGACGTCCGAATTGGGATCTGTAAGCGACAAGAGCTAAATCAGGCCCTGGGAACGGGATGCGGTAGCATCTATGTTCAAATTAGTTAAGGGTATGAATCATGAAACCCCTCTTTTTGAACCGCGTAACTGTCTCTAGCCCTTGGCTTCATCCACGTCAGGAGCAGTGTACATAGTCCAACATGCAGTGTACTGTACGACTGCAGTTCGTGTTCAGACTGGGGGGAAGAATTGCTTCAAGCTGGACCTTCCTACGACATGCCCACGAATTCTACTGATGGCATTTTGCGGTGCCCTTGTTCTTTCGGGCATAGAACCCGGCCAAGTTTGTCTTTCACCTTGGCCATCTCCTTTGAAAAAAAACACCACACGAAAGGCGGCGCGAGTGTTGTCTCCCTCCGTAACTCCGTCCCACCCCACTCTCCCCTACCCCAGATCCTCTTTCGCTTCCCTTCCCATTTACAGTACTGTCCTCCGCGCCTACCGCAGAATCAGCGCAAGGAAGTGGGAGACATCATGTAGAACTGTACAGCACCAGCGTGAATGAGCTGCCTTGCATGAATATGTACGGCTAGCTCGACGGAATCAACCAAAATTCTTTAGCCAGTCGGCGACGTCGCCGTTTCACGCGACGTTTCACGCACGCAGAGCGCAGGAGGAATCCGTGCGCTCGCTGGCACACAACCCTCAGTTCCCCAAGCGTGCGAGATACTGATACATTCAGTGCGGTTGAATACGGCGCGTGGGTTGGAAACCCGTTTTCGTGCGTCACCGACTATCATGAGCATCAGAATCGAATACTCAGAATTCAGTAGATGTGCTATCAGGACACGCCTTTCACGCAACGCCCTTCACCTGCTGACAGGTGCTGGTAACCCTAAAGCCGGCAGGCCCAGCACCTTACGCAACAACCCGCCGTTTTCACCGTATCAGACCACGCCGTGGTTGATGCCCTCGAATACCATCACTCATCCATATATAATCTCAATCCATTCCAGTCTTTAGTATCGCTCGCAGCAGCAGTACTGTCACCGTCGCAGCCACCGCAGCGGTTGCACAACGCACACCCTCATTACTAGTACCATGGCCTCCGTCGCTCGCCCGCCGCCCTCACGCACCAGTTTCCGCCGCTCCGCCTCTTCCCGCAGCGTCCGCGCGTTGTCTCCGCTCTCAGCGTTGCTCCTCGCCGCGTGCTGCCACCTCGCGCTCTCCCCAAACCGCGGGTTCCTGCCCGTGGCGCGTGCGACGCCGCAAGTCCCGTGGGACAACTTCAAATCGCCGTGCACGCCGCTCTCGGACCCTCCTGCCGCCGGTGCGTCACTGCCCGCGGTGACGGTCATCCACCGGGATGGCCGCCGCGAATCTCTCGTCCCTTTCTTCCCACGCTCACCTGAGCGTGGATATGAGGTTATTGCGGTTTATATGAGCGGCACTTGGCCACCCCTCACCTGGCGTTACCAGCTCGTTTCTAATCCGTTCTTCTCTGCTCCTTTCTTCCTTCCTCCGCCCTCTCCCTCGTCCCTTTCTTCCCACGCTCCGTCCCGTTCTCTCATCCCTTGCCCCCCTCATCGCCTTTCTCCCCTCTCCACTTCCCCTTCTCTCCCCGCGTGTTCCTTCCAGGCTTCAAGCTGTGGAGCGATGGGGGCACGTGGCCCGGAGGAGTGGTGCCGGGCGTGGGGGCGGGCAAGGGCGGCAATGCCACCATCCCGTGTGGCGTGCCTGTGCTGCTCAACATACCGTCCGTGGTGCTCTCCACCCTCACCATCCGCGGCATGCTCAAGTGAGCGCACCAGTGGGGAGGGGGAGTGAGCAGGAATGAGAGGAAGGGAGTGAGAGGAAGGGAAGAGGGCGTGTATGGGTGTTCCTCTTGGAGGAGGGGATGATGCTTGACGCTCTAGTACCATGCTCCTCTCCCGTCTCCATATCCCTCCCACTTTCTTCCCCCCTCGTCTCCCCCCTTTCCCCACCCTCTTTCCCCTGCCCCCGAGTACCCCTTGAATCCCCTATGAAATTTCTCCTGAATCCCCCTCCTGCCTCCCCCCATCTGCTTTGCAGAATCGAGGACACGCCGTCACGGCCGCTGGTGCAGGTGAACGCGTCGTTTGTGATCGTGGAGGGGCAACTAGTGGTGGGCAGCAGTACCAACCACTTCTCTCAAAAGGCCATCTTTACGCTCACGCACAACCCCAATGGTCGAGCCCCCTACCAGTACACCGCCAATGCACCCGCTGACCCCGCCAACCCCCGCAACTTCGGCCACAAGGCCTTCGTCGTGGTGCGTGCTGAGCTGCTGCTGCTGCTGCTGCCGCCGCCGCCGCCGCTGCTGCTGCTGCTGCTGCTGCTGCTGCTGCTGTGAGGTGGGGGCTGCTCTGGGCATGTGTAAGCTGCTGCAGCATGTGTGGTGTGGCGTGCTGCATGGTGCTGCACTCTGCTGTGTTCCGCTCTGCAGTGCAGTGCCAGGGTCACGCCTGTTATGGTGGAACCCATCCCCATCCTCCTCCTCCTCCCGACCACCCTCCCCCCACGCCCCTCGTCCCCAGGTGGGAGGGCAGGTGCGCATGCACGGCATGCCAGGCGGCTCCTCCACGCCCTCATGGTGCCGCCTCGCAGCGACGGCACAGGCAGGTGATCGCACCATCCTGGTGGACCGGGACGTCTCCGCATGGCCCGTGGGCTTCCACATCGGCCTCGCCTCCACCGACTTCTATGCCGATCAAATCGACGTCGCCAGAATTGTTGCTGGTGAGTGAGCCGCGCGTCCTGTGCCGTCCTCTTGAGCCACAGTGAGAGATTCTGAGCCGCTGCGTCATGTGTCGTGTGACTCTTGTCCACACGAAAGTCAGTGCGGCTTCACGCCACTTCCCTCGTGCCAGCCGATTTTGTGGATTCGAAAAATGACCATACTTTGCATCCCCATCATCACCCTTCTCCCCCTCCCCCCTGCTGCAGTGACGTCGGTGGGTGGCAGCAAGTGGAAAGTGACGCTGAGCGCGCCGCTCGCCTACAGCCACTTCGGAGAGGTGGTGTCGGACGGGTTTGGTGGCACGATAGACGAGCGCGGGGAGGTGGTGCTGCTGAACCGCACAGTGACCATCCGAGGGGAGGACGAGGCAGCACCGCACAACTGGGAGGGCGGGCACTTCATGGTGTTCTTCACTCAGACCACACAGATGATAGAGGGCGTCGAGTTCGCCCAGATGGGGCAGCAGGGGCAGCTGGGGCGCTATAACATTCACTTCCATCTCTGTGGGAACCAGGCGGGAAGGAGCGTGGTGCGGAAGAACGTGATGCACGACAGCAAGCAGGTGGGGCTGCGTCTTGTGTGCTGCGTGGTGTCTTGATTGTGAGACTGTGAGCTCATCTTTTTTCAGTCTACATCTTTTCCAGATTCTCGTCTCGCGTCCATCCCTTCATCCTCGTCACCTCTCCATTCCTCTCCCTGTCCCTCACCTACTCTGTCCTCGACCCTCGCGCTCCTGTCATGTGCAGCGGTGTGTGGTGGTGCACGCGACGTTCAATCTGACGGTGGAGGAGAACGTGGCGTTCAACACGAGAGGGCATTGCTTCATGGTGGAGGAGGGCGGCGAGCAAGGCAACACATTCATCAGAAACGTTGGCATCTGGACGCGCCCAGGTGACCACACGGCGCTCCCACACACCTCATTCCACCATGCGGCGTTGCTTGGTTGTTGGTTAGTTTTGTTGGTTTTCTTTTGCTATCTACGTGTTTCACCATCTGCTCTAACCTGTGACTGTCGCTGTGTGCGTGCGTGCATGACCATGTGTGTCTGCATGTGTGTGTGCATATACATGCAGTGAAGGTGAAAATATCATCTGACGAGACGGATGACGAGCCATCGACGTTTTGGATCACCAACCCCAACAACAACTACATCGGCAATGTCGCCGCCGGCTCAGAAGACACCGGGTGCGTGCCTCGCTGCCTGAGTGGGTGGCTCGCTGGCTGGGTGGCTGGGTGGGTGGGTTGGTGGCTGGGTTGGTGGGTGGAGTGGGTAGTCCTCTCCCATTCACCCGCTTCTCACTCCATTCTTCCCCCCATTTGTCGCTTCCTTGTTGCTTTTCCATGATCCATGCCCACTCATTCACCTTCCTCGTGACTCCGCCGTGCGTTCCCTTCATTCCCCCTCCTCCTTAGCCACGTTTTCTCCCTTGCTCCCTCACCCGCCTACCGTCCTAACTGCACGCCATCAGCTTCTGGATAGGATTGAAAAATTGCGTGAGGGGGGGCTGTTGACTCAACCGTCGCTGATCAACACGCTTATCCCCATCAACCCAACGCCTCTCTCTCCCTTCCCTCCCCCTCTCTCTGTCTGCACGGCTTCAGCTTCTGGATGGAGCTAAGGGAGGAAGTGAGGGGGCTGTCGGCGCAGTGGCCAAAGATCAACAAACTCATTCCCATCAACTACCATCGCGTGGGCACGTTTGCGGGCAACGTGGCGCACTCGTGTGACACGGGCTTTCGTAACTACCCCGGGGGGTACAGCCCTCGCTTCAACGCCACCACCCTCGATGAGGACGAGACCTACGTGCGTTGCGCCACCACCACTACCTGCTATCTTGAGAGACGAATCAGGACAAGTGTGATTGCCTCAATGCATGCTCTCTCATGCCTCCTCTGTGCCTTGCCCCTTGCTGGCCCCTGCTGCTTCCTGCGCGTCTCCTATGCTCTCCCTGCTCTCTCTCCCATACTGTGCGCCCCTGTGCCTGCTGACCATGCTGTCAGCTGTTGCTCGCTCTTCGCACCTGTGTGTCCTGCCCCGAGCTGCTGCATCATGCCCTGCTCGTCTCTTGATGTGCCGAGACAGACCCTTCCACGTTCACCACCAGCAGAATGCCGATCCGAGTGCGTGTGCCCCTCGCCGATCCGAGTGCGTGTGCACCTCCCTGCCCCCTTGTGCCCCTCCCATGTCCCATGCTCCATGTGTCCCGCCATTGATCATTGCAGTGGGACCATCCAGTGTGCATGTGCACCTCCCATGCTCCATGTGCCCCTCTGTTGATCGTTGCAGTGGGACCGTCCAGTGTGGGTGACTATCTCGGGCTTCACTTTCTACAAGAACATCTACGCGGGGTAAGCCCACCCATGCTCCCACTCTCCCTCTTCCGCGCACCTCTTCCCCTTCCCTGCCCCCTTCCCTCCCTTCGCACCATTCGACACTGGTTCACCTTCCGACACCACCAACATAAAGCCATCAAACACCACGTAGTCCGTGTTGAGGATGCACTATCCATCACCACCAGCATAAAGCTGCGACTCTGGTACTATACACCCCCTTTCCTCCCTCCTCCCCTCTTCCCACCCCCTCCCTGCAGCTCGTTCATCCACAACACGGACTACGTGGTGTTTGACGGGTGGGCAGCGGCGGACAACATGTGGGGGGTGGAGATGGCGCAGGTGGAGGGCATAGTGCTGCGCAACCTGCGCATTGTAGGCCAGACCACCAACCACGGCAACCCCTGGGACTGCACCGACCCCGACTCCGATGGCTGCGCTCCCGTCTCCGCCTGCAAGTGAGTGCAGTGCGGGAGGGAGTGAGGGATCCAGTGAGGGAGGGAGTGAGTGGTTGGCTTGCATTCAAGATTCTTCAGCTTCGTCAACACTCAGGGCTCCGCCATCCTCCTGTGACACCTTACATACTCCTTTCAACCTTTCCGTTTTCCTCTTTCCTCCTGCTCTGCCACCCCCTGTTTGCCACCTTTTTCCTTTTCTCTTTCCTCCTCCACGTGTCAGCTTCCCATTGGCGAAGGGCCAGCAGGGGCGCAGTGTGGGGGATGGGGGCTGGGAGGAGCCGGTATACGGGCTGGTGTTCACGCAGAGCCCATGGTTCACCGATGGGCTCTTCAACAACGTCGTTGACGGCGCTAAGTAAGTGCATGCATGCATGTGTGCATGCACATCCATGCTTCCATGCTTCCATGCGGCCTGGTGCAGCACCACTTAGCATCGCACCTCATCATACACTCCAAGGCCCCATCCCATCTCGCCTCTTGCACACCCACTGTGCAGGTTCGCTGGGTTTGACAACAGATGCAAGGCGTCTGCAGCGGTGGCGGTGGGGAGTGACATGGGAACGTACTGGAACGCAGGCAACAACTTCAAGGTGCCTCTCACCCCTTGCCTTTCACAGCTTGCCTTTCACGGCTTGCCTTTCACAGCCCTTCACTGCTGCTCTCTGCTCCCTGCTCTCTGCTCTCTGCTCTCTGCTCTCTGCTCTCTGCTCACTGCTGTTCCCTCACAATTGCACCCTTGTCATCATGTGTCATTCCAAAGTACCAAGTGCAGCGGCAGTAACAGATGGTGCATCTACCCCCCCTTACTCCTGCTGCTCCCCCCATGAAATGACAGAATTTCAAGTTCAGCACTGCAACGCGGACCAACCCAGTGTTTGTCCTGCCTCGGAAATACCCTTCAAGAGTGAGTCGCCTCGCCAACCGCACAGCCACCCTTTGTGTGCCTGCCAAACTGCCTTGCACGCCGCACTGCCTTCCACGCCGCACTGCCTTGCACGCCGCATTGCCTTGCACGTGAGAGGCTTACATGAGCTCTCTTCTCTCTCCCGGTGCATTCCTACCCCTGGGCAGTACGACTCGTCGGAGACGGAGGACCACGGGGAGGCACAGACACAGGTGGCGTTGAGGGACATGGACGGCAGTATACTGGGCTCCGTGCTAGGAAAGACCTCTGCTAAAAAGAACAGACTCCGTTCTGCTGCCACTGCTGCTGGTTCTGGCGATGCTGTTGCTGTTGCTGTTGCCACTGCTGTTGCTGTTGCTGCTGATGGTGATGATGCTGGTTCTGCAAGGCCCGGTGCTGCTGCTGTCCCGGCGTCTCTTGGAAAGCTTGTCCTGCCACGGAAAGCTTTCCCTCTGCGGCACCGTCGCCTGCAAGCCGCCTCCACTTCTTCTGCCGCTGCTACCACTGCTGCTAAGCCTGCCTCTCGTCGTCGCACGCACCGTATTGCAGCTTCTGCTGCTGCCACTGGCTCTGCTCTCAAGAAATCCGGCGGCCGTTTCAGCCGCCGTCCTAGCAACTACGACCCCAGGCCCCGCTCGAGAAAGAAGCACTCCCGCGCTTCTTTCAAAAAGTCCGCTTCTTCTGTCCGCCCGCTTGCCCCCTTCCCCTCCTCCTCCTCCTCCTCCTCCTTCTTCTCCACCTCCTCCCTATCCTCCTCCCCTCTCACCAGCACCTCAAAGAAAGCCACTCCATTGTCGTCCGGCTTCCTAGTGGCGAACAACAAAGCAGTCCTCCCCCCGCTGACCCCCTCAGGCACGTACGGCTCCTGTCAGCCCATGCCAGGAGTGAACGCATACGCATGCCCCTCCTCCGCACACTGCTTCCGCACCGTCAACGTGCGGTACCGCGAGCCCGCTGCACACAACACCAGCGACGAACCACAGCCCCGCGGCGTGATGAGCTTCATCAAGGTGGTGCGCGTGAGTGACGGCGCACAGCAGACGTTCGACGGGAACACGGATCATATAGAGCTTGAAGAGGATAAGAAGGCGGAGCGGATGTTTGGGTTCACAGCGCTGGTGGGGGAGGTGTATGTGGTGGAGGTGGTGGGGCCGCGGGGGAAGGAGGAGTGGCTCCCCGCGGAGGTGGATGTATTCTTTGGGGATGGCGTGGATAAGGACTTCATGGGTAGCTGTGGAGGCGCGGTGACGGTGCGCTTCAAGGCGCCTGCTGGGGGGGACACGCAGTGGGCCCCCAAGATGACAGATATTGCATCGTGGCGGTAGGGCTTTTGACGTTTGCTTTTCTCTCTCCGCAATTCCTTTACTTCTTCTCCTCTCCTTTCCTGTTCTCCTTTTTTCCTTTCTTTTCTATTGTTATCATTCTATCTCTCTCTCTCTCCAGTTGAGCAATCCATATCCCACATTCTCATCCCCCTCACCTGACATCTCCCCTCTCTTCTCTCCTCCCTCCTCTCCCACCTTTCCGTGGCTCCTCTCTGCAGCCCCTGCACGGGCACCACTCAGCGTGCACCTGCTCTGTTCTCATACGAGTGCGATGCGAAATCAGGGCGCCAACAGTTGCAGGTGGTGCTGACAGGCGATGTGGACTACTACCTACCTGCTGCCCTCTATGTCACACAGAACCCCCCTGCACCGTGCTCCACCCCTTTGTGAGTCAGACCCTGCCACGCCATGGCACGGCACACGGCACCGCACGGCACCGCACTGCACACCACACCACAGCACACCGCACCACAGCACACCGCACCACGGCATGGCACCACCTCCCGCTTCCTCCCCACCCTGGCTTCCCTTCCCTCAACCGCTCCCTTTCAACCGATCACCCACCCCGTGCCTATCCTGACCCCTCCCCCCCCTCACCCCTCTCTCTCTCCGCTCGCAGCCGCTGTGGTCTGGTGGCACCGCGGGCAGTGTGGCGCTACAACCAGCAGGGGGGAGAGCTTCATGCGCGCTACCCCGGCGGCCCAGCCTACTACAACCCAAACTTCCCGGACTCCTCCTGGCGCTCAGGCCCCGCCCCTCTCGCCTACATCGATTGTAAGCACTCACTCTCGCACTTATGTACGCATTCTCTCCTTTTTGGTACTCTGCGGTGGGCTGTGGTGCGGTTAAGCCATCTGCTGCTGAAGTTGCGACCTTCTGGCTGTCTGGCTGCCAACATGGGACTGACTGGGGCATGGTGGGCGCGTTCCTCTCCGAGCCATCATGGGACAACCTCACCACATACTACTTGCGCGTTTCAAAGCGTCTCAAAGCTCTACTTCCCCCACTTGACTCTTCCTCCCCCAACAGACGAGTGGGACATGGTGGGCACGTTGCTAGCCGAGCCATCGGACGCCCGCACCACATACTACTTCCGCACGTCCTTCACTCTCACCAACTCCGCGTGCTACTCCAACCTGTTGCTGCAAATGCCGGTGGACGATGGTGTGATTGTCTACATCAACAACCGGGAGGTGCTGCGCCTCAACATGCCAAAAGGGGCCGTCTCCACTTCCACCTCCGTACGTCACTCCCATGCCCCTCGCCTCCCCCCTCCCGCCGCAACACACCTCATTCCTCTCGCCTCTCGCCTCGTCCCTCTCACCTCATCCCTCTCGCCTCTTGCCTCACCCCACTCGCCTCGTCCCTCACGCCGCCATGCACAGCAGTGAATGCACGTCGTGTAGCTCGCTACCTTACCCGCACATCATCCACCTGTTCCGCCCGCATTCCCACGGCGCACCGCTCTGAACTCACTCCCCCCAACCCCACCTAGCTCACACAGTTCCAAACCCACGTGCCTCTTCCCGTTTGCCTCTGTGTGTGCAGGCGCTGTCGGATAAAGACGGGAGCAACGACGATGCGTTCATCTACACGGACAGGACAGTGGCGCTGGGGGGGGCGGGTGCAGCGGCGGTGCTGGTGGAGGGGGTGAACGTGGTGGCAGCAGAGGTGCACCTCAACCAGGACGACGGCTGGGACGTCGCCTGGGCTCTGCGCCTCTCTGCTCTCCCCTCGTACGTGCCACTCGCATGTATCTGGGGCATGGGACGTGTGGCACATGTATGTCTGTGGGGTATGGGACGTGTGCCACACGCATGTGTGTCTGTGTTGTTTCTGCCTCCTAGTCTCTTCACTTTTTGCTTGAACTCTTTTCTGCACGAATGGCCTGGAAGCTCTCTGTCTCACCCGCCTTCCCTGCTGCTCCTACTCTGCTGCTGCAACCCCGCAGCTCTGCTTGCCCCTGATTGCTGATTGCTGCAGCGTCTGATGGCCGAGGAGGCACACGGGGCACCAAGACAGCGGCTTGTGCTTGCCACTTCTGTGACCAGCCAGTCCGTTACCAGAGATGCTCTCTGGAGTGGGTGAAATGAGTGAGTGTGTGGACGGGTGGGTGGGTGAGTAGGGGGGTGAGTGGGTGTGTGGGTGGGTGTGTGAGTGAGGTGAGGTGGGTGTGAGGGTGCATGCGAGGGTGCAGCTGTCGCCAGGACCGTGCTAGTCTCTGTGGATGGTGCTCCCTTTAGGCCAGCCACCAGCATGTGTCCTGCTGGAGACACTGAGCTGGTAGTGGCACCAGGGGTGGTGTGTGTGGGTGATGCTTGTGTTAGAGCGCATATACATGTACGTATATATATGTATGTATATTGTATATGGTAAATTTATGTCTTCCTTGGTGCATTAGGACAGGGAGCAGGGAGAGAAAGGGAGGGAACTGCTAGAGAGATGCTGAGGGAGGGCGGATAGAGCGCGCCTTTGATGAGTTCCTAGCTTGTTCAACCCATGTACCCTTGTGCCCGTAAGGAGCACTAGGAAGGGAGAAAATCAAGGTGTGGCACGAGCAGTATGGCGTCGTCGTGTGTGTGTCCCTGCCGTGGTGCATGCATCAAGGGTGCTTGTGAACCTTCTAGACTGCATGCATATAGGAGGAATAGCCTTGCGTCTCTTGATGACAGCCTATTATATCTTTCCTGCGGTTGTGGCACTCGCTTCCATCCATCGGGGAAGCTAGCTATGGAAACAAAGACGAGCGTAAGTGGTGGCGACTCTTACGAAAATAGGTAAGGGAGCCCACAAAGAAGTATTAGCTTGCAGGAATTTCAGCACCAGGAAATGGATAAGGGCTACGTCAGATTGCATAACTACATTGCCTACACTCCCTGCAGTCAACTTCGTTTGGTCCACTCATAATGAAAACCGCTTTCTATCGTGTGGAACCGTCCTGAGCCACGATACAAGAACGGTAGAAGTGCACTAGTAGCGGAACCTGACATCACCTTGAGGTGGCGGGTGTGGGTTGCAAGTAAAGTGAAGCAGATTGGTTGAGTACGGTGGGGCGGGTGCAAATCTTGGGTGTGCTGCGATCCTACCTGTCGAGTTTCGGTAGGTTGGTTGGCTGCACATGTTATGGTAGCTTTTGGTTGATGCCTTCCGAGCCGCATGTGGGCTTCATTGGTGTTTTGTTTCCACTTCCACCGCTGCCCCTGCAGCAGTGAGAGAGCAGCCGACGCAGCTCATTTGGGTACGGCTCTGCTCAGTAGCTGACCCATCTCCGTTATTTCTGTTGGCCCGCCCGAGCCCGACAAGCCCCAAAGAATTGCTGCTGCCGGGCCATCAGCGTCATACACCGTACTGAACTGTACTGCATTCGCAGAAATTCGGGTAATGTACGGGATGGGGACGGGGGAGGTTGGGGGAAAGGGGGTGTGAGCTGGGGCTTTGAAAACAACGCGGATCCCGCAGAGGCACCCAAATTGCCCTCATGTGCGAACCTCGTTCTTCCGCTTCGCGCAATGCCGTGCGTAGCACTCCGCCTCCGCGCGCCATCAGTTTTGCAAAACCTGCCGAACCCCGCGTGTTCGCCGCGGAACCAGCGCAAGGACGATTTCACGGACCAATAGAAAAGGTGGTGGTGGTCCCAACTTTCGTCACTTCGCTGATGACGCTCGTCACAAAACCCAACACCATTCGTCCATCAAACCCCAAGGACCCACGCCAGCCCATCATCCTGACACAGCCACTACAGTACAGTACTCAGAGCCCAATCTTCGTCGCTCCCTCATCCCTTGAAGTTGCAAACCCTCCCGCATTCTCCAAGAACGGCCACGAGCCGTTTATTTTAGCGCGAACCCCAGAAGCACGCGACTCGAAACTGGGTCAATTCTGTGAGCGACGTCTCCTGGTCCACTGTAGTCAGCGTCACTTGCGTTCCCCTCCAGGTTATCTGCGCTCCAGTCAATCCCGTCGAATGCAAGCATATAAGTCAGGACGTTCCTAGCCCCACAATTTAGACGCCGATTACCTCGTTCACGATTTTCAACCTCCCTTGTGCAACTCGACGTCCACAATCCGTCTGATTCACGATTTTCAACATCGGTCGATTCAAGCTTGTCTGCTGCTGTTTGTCACATTGCGCGAGCATCAAGACTTCCACCTTTAAGGTCAGCCATAATAATTTCCTTCAACCGTTTTATCATTCCTGAGCGTACCTATCTTTCGTTTGCATGTTGAACTTGTACTGATTCGCGTTTTTATCCTTTTTTGCAGAAAAAGGTGGAAAAAAGTAATTCAACGCTCGTGGTTGTCATCGGAGCTTCGCTCTGCACCCATTCGACATTCGTCACCCTACTGCGCAACGGTCTGCACTATCTCAAGACGCGCAACAGTCCAATTCGAGACTTGAAGCCACGACGTCAACCTACAGTCAAGAACTGCTACTTCTTTTACAGATAAGTATCAACTCTTCCTTGATTCTTCCAACTTCGTTTCCCGCTCGTCGTATCCATCATGGTTTTTTTGTCATGCTATAGCCGCTTGCCGCCACTGCTACAGGAGCCACTCCCCTTAGATGGTTTAGGTTTTTTTATCAGGTATTCTCTGGTGAGTTCTTCAGGTTCTCTATTGGTATTTTTGGTACTTGGCTCCTGTAGCAACGGTGTTAAGCGCTCTTGCATGGTGTTGCTGCATACCCGTACCTCCCATCATGCATATGCATACTAACGGATGGACCATCTACTGTTGTGTTTACTCACTAACTCTCACTCTGCTGCATTTCAATGGCAGATGCTCTTCTTCCTTGGACGCCATCGAAAGCAACGCGACGCTCAACATGTTAATTGCTACGGTCCAGCCTTCAACCATCAGCCGCTTCCTGGAGCCAACACAGAAGCAACGGAGCCAGCTTCAAGCTTTAAGTCAAGATCCATGTTGAAGCTAAGTATTTCTCGAACCTTGAGTCATTTTTCTGCTATTTCGTTTTTTCATGTCATACATTCGATTCCATTCATCCACCTTCGCACGCATGTATGCTCGAGAGTCGATCACTCACCACATGAGCCATTCCCCTTAGGTTTTTTGGTACAAGGTATTTCTCTCTGGTGAGATCTTCAGGTCTCTTAAGGTTCTGGTACTTGGCTCGTGTGGTTGTAGTGTTTAGCCCTCTTGCATCTATGCTACTCCCTACCTCCCATCCATCATGCTCATGCTTACATGTCTTGGTATTCCCTGGAGCGCTCGGTGTCACACGTAATAATCATTTTTTTTTTCTCTTCCTTTCAATGGCAGGTTCATGGCTAACCGAGGGAGCCTAGCTGGCAGATCTACGCTACTCAAGTCCCAAGGCCCAAGGTCTACCCTCTGATCTAAACACCCAAGTCCCGAAATCCAAGGTAAGTCTTGCAAGTTCAAGTTTTGAATCTCCTTCACCCTTTCAACCTTCACTGACTAATGTTTCCTTCTTTTTTTTAATACAGGTTCCTCCACACTCCTGTCCTGCCTTTCAATGGCGGATGCGCTTTTTCCTTGGACGCCTTCGAAAACAACACGACGCTCTACTGTCCAGGCTTCTGCCTTCAGCCACTTCCTGGAGCCAGCACAGAAGCAGCGGAGCCAGCTTCCAGCTTCAAGTCAAGATCCATTTTGAAGCTAAGTATTTCTTGAACCTTGAGTCATTTCTCTGCTATTTCGATTTTTTCCATTATGCATTCGATTCCATTCATCCACCTTCGCATGCATTTATGCTTGAGAGTTGATCACTCGCCACATGAGCCATTCCCCTTAGGTTTTTCTGTACAAGGTACTTCTCTCTGGTGAGATCTTCAGGTCCCTCTAGGTTCTGGTACTTGGCTCGTGTGGTTGTGGTGGTAAGCTCGCTCGCATCTATGCTACTCCCATCATGCTCATGCTTACATGTCTTGGTAGTCCCTGGAGTGTTTGGTGTCACTAAGAACCTTTTTTTCACTTCCTTTAAATGGCAGGTTTATGACCAGGCAGATCTACTATACTCAAGACCAAGGCCCAAGGTCTACTCTCTGATTCAAACACCCCAAGTCCTGAAATCCAAGGTAAAACTTGCAAGCCCAACTTGTAAATCTCCTTTAGCCTTTCAACCTTTACTGACTGATGTTTTTTTGCCCTTTCTATGCAGGTTTCTCCACACTGACGCTCTTCAAAAGCTACTCGCGTCAAGTATACAAGCAAGCATCCCAGCTTCCAAGCCTTTCAGCGTAAGCTTCTCATTTTCAGCCATTTCAATTCGTTCTTTTCTCTTACCCTTCACTGACGTCTCCTTGTTGCTCTGCAGATAAACCGTTTCACAGCTGAGCACTTGAACAGTCCCAACTCTTCTGAACATGCAACATCAACGTTCAAGATTACCAAGGTAATGCTTTTCTATCCTTCAAGTTTTCCTTGTTCCTTTTTTTTTCTTATCTTGACTGACGTCTCCATCTTTTTTTTTCTGCAGGTACTTCACCACTGAAGCCGTCCAACAGCCAAACGACTCTCAAGACCTTCCATCAATCTATTTTCTAAACGATTTATCATCTCAACATCCACGCCCACCAAGGTATTGTTTTCAACCTTAAGTTTTTCGTTTTTGTTTTCACTGGCTAATGATCTCCCTTTTCACTCTGCAGGTATGTCAGCAGTGGATGGTTTCGTCCAACACACTCAAGCTTCTAATTACTATGAAAGCCGAGACTTCAAGGTACAGTTGTTAAACTTTCTGCACTTCGTTTTTCTACTCCTATTCAAGTACTGACAATTTCTTTTGATTCCTGCAGGTACTCCAAGAAAGGTTGGCGGCTTGTGGCTTGAGGCCTTGGCATGTGCGAGTGGCATGAATCCTTGGGGTTGGCTAATTTCGAATCCGGGCCATACACAATGGTTCTGTCCGGTATCAGAGCTGACTGCAGCAGCTCTGTTACTTGATGGGGGTCCAAAAGGACAGAGCCATTGTACATGGGCTCCCGCATGTCTTGATAATAGCAACCCTGAGGATGGGCCAGTCCTCCCTGAGGTGGGGGAGGATGGCTTATGCCTACTGCCTGCAGCCAACCCTTCCCAAGGCATGAGACTCTTCCCAAGGCACGAGACAAGTCATACCCATGTGAGTTGTTCCGTTTTCTGCACTTTTGTTCAATGACCGTTCTTCCAAAGAATTAACATTCTGGGTGACACTCTGTGCAGGTTATTTATGATTCAACATACTGTTGTATGTTGAATCAGTCCCAACTCCAAATGTGCAACATCAACGTTCAAGATCCCCAAGGTAATGCTTTTCTATCCTTGAACTTTTCCTTGTTCCTTTTTTTTTTAAACTTGAATGACGTCTCCACCTTTTTTTCTGCAGGTACTTCACTACTGAAGCCGTCCAACAGCCAAACGACTCTCAAGACCTTCCAACAATTTATCATCTGAACAATCTATCATCTCAACATCCACGCCCACCAAGGTATTGTTTTCAACCTTAAGTTTTTCGTTTTTGTTTTCACACCGGCTGATTATGTCCTTTTTTACTCTGCAGGTACCTCAGCAGTGAAGGACTTCGTCCAACACACTCCACTCAAGCCTTTAAACTCATCACTTAAAGCTGAGACTTCAAGGTAGAGTTGTTAAACTTTCTGCACTTCGTTTTTCTACTCCTATTCAAGTACTGACATTTTCTTTTGATTCCTGCAGGTACTCCAAGAGGGGTTGGTGGCTTGTGGCTTGAGGCCTTGGCATGTGCCAGTGGCATGAATCCTTGGGGTTGGCTAATCTCGAATCCGGGCCATACACAATGGTTCTGTCCGGTATCAGAGCTGACTGCAGCAGCTCTGTTACTTGATTGGGGTCCAAAAGGACAGAACCATTGTACATGGGCTCCCGCATGTCTTGATAATAGCAACCCTGAGGATGGGCCAGTCCTCCCTGAGGTGGGGGAGGATGGCTTATGCCTGCTGCCTGCAGCCAACCCTTCCCAAGGCATGACTCAACCCAAGGCATGAGATAAGTCATACCCATGTGAGTTGTTCCGTTTTCTGCGCTTTGTTCAATGACGCTCTTTCAAAGAATTAACATTCTGGGTGGCACTGTGCAGGTTATTGATTCAACATACATCAGCACCTTAAAATGCTGGAGCAACAGCAAGAGCTGCTAGGTAGTCATGGATTAGTCTCAAGTGGAATATTAAGGTGATGTACTCTTTGTCAGAAGTTATGGATCTTGTCAGAAAGTACTGATACTTAAGCAATTTGTAATGTGCAGTTGATATTTATGAAGAAGTTACCTATCAGTTCATACTGGAGAGATCCATGACAATCGATGATATTTATGAACAAGTTGCTCTCTACGTAAAAGATCTACCCTCATTCCGCGCTAACTTGTCTTCGCAAATCAGATGATGGTGTCGCGAATTATCCCCCTGACGCATCGCGCCACCGCGTCGATCCCCGCAAGTGCGATCCCCTGCGACTCATGCGACCTGCGTTAGTCGCATGCGAGCCGATCAGCCGAATCGCATGCGAGGAACTCGCTGTCGTGCGACCGAATGTTCAGATCCGCCGCAACCACGGCCGTCGCAGAACCAGGAGGCCCATCGAATAGCCGCGCCGCCGCGTATAATTCACGCGCGACTGTGTTTCCCGCACGAATCCATTCGACGCGGTTCCTAGTACCTCTCGCGAACGTGAATAGCGAACTAACGGGAAGCAAGCGTAGTTTCCGTAATACCTCCTCCTCCTCCTCTCACCGACTAATGGCTGTTTCCGCCGCGAGCGGTGCAAGCCAAGCCTCAGGCGAATCCGAGCCGTCCGTATCAGCTCAGATCCGCGGGATCGGGGAAGAGAAGCCTGGCTTGCGCGGAAGGTTCCTGCAGGACGTGGGTCCGAACCAGGTGGTTCTCGAGGCGCAGGCGCGCGTGTGCACGGGACCCACGCTGACCCGGCCGTTCGGCGAAGAGGAGATGCGGCGCGTGATGGAGCAGATTCTGCTCTTGGTGTGCCCTCAGGTGTTCTGTCAGGTTTGCGACCCCAGACGTTCTGTCACGTGTTCTGTCAGACATGGTAATGTGCGCCAACTGCCTTCCCCCCACCATCCCCCCTCATCTCTCTCATGCCACTCCCCTGTCCCCCCCCCCCCACTTGCCCCCTGCCCCTTTCCCCCTTCCCCCTCCCCCACTGCCACATACACCAGCAAAGGGCGAGCTCCCCCATCTGTGCGCGTTGCGGGTATGACAGCGCGCGCCAACTGCTTCCCCCCCGCTACGCAGTGGAGTGAGTGAGGGGGAGAGGCGGGCGCCCTCAGATACCACCTCCCCCGAGACGTGCTCTTCCTTGCCGACCCTCAGATGGGTGCTAGGTGAAGTGAAGGGACCCAATACTGTCTCTTGCTCGGAGCCCCATTTTCAACAATGCTCTCCCTGTGGGTTCCCGTCCCCCTAGCATGGGTCAGTGGAGGAGGGTCAGGTGGTGGGGTGGGGTAGGATGTGGTGGGTGGAATCTTCATGTCTTGTACCTCTCGTGCGTGTCTCAATATGGAGACTCTTCCTTGTTTGATACAACCTCTCACCCCCTCAGGGTTCCCTGTTCAACGGTGCTCTGCCTCGGGCAGGGGTCGGAGCAGGAGGCTCAGTTGGTGGGGAACCTGAGGGACATTCTGTTTCGGCGTGCACCTTGCCTTTCAGGTGAGATCTCAGGTGGATTATCAGGTTAGACCTCAGGTGAGATTACGCATTCTCTTTCTCGTTTTAACCCACCAATCATAACATGTAGCCTTACGCCGCTTTCGTGTGGATTCCTGTGCCACCCAACTGCCTTCTTGTCTGCCCTTCCAGGAAACCATGTCTCTGCTGCAGAACATGCTGCTCATGAGGGGTAAATTTCAGGAGGGAGGAGCATGGCGAGTGTATGAGACATTTCAAACATGCAAGCGCGTGAAGCACATGTAGTTTCCATGTTAGCTCTTCCTCCTCTCACCGGCTAGCGGCTGTTTCCGTCGCGAGCGGTGCAAGCCAAGCCTCAGGCGAATCTGAGCCGTCTGATGGATCATGAGTTGCTGGACAAGTCCCTGTTAATCTCATATCCAGGTGGTAGCTCTTTCCGTCCCAACACTGTACATACATATTATGAGTAGTCTCTCCTCTCTTGACATTCCACCTCTGCCACTGGTAAACCAGCCATATGCAGCATTCAGCCTAATTCAGTCAGCATTGATCCAATATCGTAGCTAATTACTCACACAGTCCACTGATGTTGAGCTACCCGTAAAAAGGAGCTCAACAGCCAAGTGTGTTGGACTGTGCACAGAAGGTTTTGGTAGGGAGCAATCTATGGACTAATAGGGTCCTTTATGTAGCCAATACACCATGTATTATTCAATATGTAAGTTATATGCAAACAGGACAAGCAAGCAAGAAAAGTAGCAAATCAGTTGTTCTGTTCACACATGCCTAGGAGAGCCACGATTCTTCAGACAGGTACCCTACATCACCTCAATAGTGAGGTTCACAAACAACACACACATCCCACACAAAATGGCACGACACTAAAAACACCACTACCCTATCACAACCATCTCAAACACATCCCCCTTCTCCCCCCTCCCTCCCGAAGTGTACATCAACGGATTCGCAGACTCCGCCTTCACTTGGTGGCGGGCTGGGCGGCGGGCTCGGGCGCCTGGGTGGCGAACTTGGTGCCCTTGTCGATGCTGGCCTTGAGCTCCGGCACCATGGCGTCCAGCCCCGCCTTCTCCGCGGGCGACAGCCCCTCCAGCTCCGATGGCAGGAACGCCTCCAGCCCCTCGCGCCCCAGCTTCACTCGCGACGCGAAGAACGGCAGCTCCGTCACCTGCGGTGGCGCAAAAAGGCACAGCAGGGAGAGGTTTCGGTGGGGGGAGTGAGGAGAGAAAAGGAGCATGAGTTGGGGATGTGGGTGGGGCAGATTGGGTGTGGGCAGAGGGGAGGGATGTGAGATTGTAGATGGAAGGATGCACTGGGCGGCGCAGCGAGAAACGAAGGTGACGTGTGAGAGAGGAGGAGAAGGGCCTAGGTGAGTGAAGCGTGGACGTACGTCGGAGGCGACGTAGGTGCACTCAAAGACGTCGGGATCGCCGTCCATGGCGCGCATGCACGACTCCGCGAAGCGCGCCGCCGCATAGGCCTGCAAGACGACGGAGAACAATGTGAGTTTCAGTAAAAGACAGCAAATTTAAGGGGACACAGGGGCAAAGCGCTGCGTGAAAAAGCATGCGGCGGATACGGGAAGCAAGCCAGTAACAGAACGAAAGAGCGAGGAGGAGAACAAGAGCGAGGAGGAGAACGAGGGCGAGGAGGAGAACGAGGGCGAGGACAGGCAAAGTCCATGTGGCAGGCAAGCGGGAGTGTGAGCGTACCATGGAGAGGGTGGCAGAGCCGGCTCCTGCCTTGGCCTGTCATCAACACGGGAGAGACGCGAGGAGACGAGGGACAGCGGTCAGCGCACGAGGGCAAGCAAGCGACGGGTGCAGAAAGTATATGGAGAAGGCAAGTCGGTAATGCGAGTGCCGAGTTCCGAATGTGTGTCCTTTTGCCTCGATGCAAGCATACTCTAGGTCACACGTTTCAAGTCCACGGCAGTAACCATACCCCATCCATCATAACCAGCACAACCCAGCACAGCTAGCATAGCCCTCCACAACAATCACATTCATCTAAATCCGCTCCCGGGCAGCTCACCTCAACCACTTCCGTGCCGGCGTTTTGGATGCGGACCGTCAGCTTGGCGGCCTCGTCCTCCGTCAGCGTGACGGACGGCTTCGCCTTGGACAGCAGCGGCAGGATGGTGGCGCCGGCATGGCCGCCGATCACGGGCACGTCCACGTCGATCATGCGCAGGCCCTTAAGCTCCGCAAGGAAGGTGTTCGCGCGCACGACGTCGAGCGTCGTCACGCCGAACAGCTTCCGCGGGTCCCACACGCCCTTCGATTTAAGCACCTCCGCGGCGATGGGGACGGTGCTGTTAACGGGGTTGGTGATGATGTTGATCCAGGCCTTGGGGCAGTGGTCGGCGGCGGCCTCGACGAGCTTCTTGACGATGCCCGCGTTGATGTTGAACAGGTCGTCGCGCGTCATGCCGGGCTTGCGCGGCACGCCGGCCGGGATGATGACGAGATCTGCACCGTCCAGTGCCGCGCCCAGCTGATCGGCGCCGGAGAAAGCCTTCACCTGCGGAAGGTCGAGGCGGAGGAAGACGCGGGGAAAGGTTAAAAGGGAGGAGAGGCGACGGGAAAGAAGGGTGCTTGCTGGAAGACGCAGCACATCTAGACTGGTTGCTTCCGTGAGTGCTCGACAAATAACAGTCCCATTCAGAGGAATAACCGCGAGAGCACGGGTATGAACAAAGAAGGTTGGCCTTTTCCAAGTTCGGCAAAAGAAGCGTCGCAGTACTTCATTCTTGACCTTTCAAATCGTACCTTCGCGGGCGTGTTGCAGTGGCTGACGTCAGCTCCGACGCCAGCGACGTTGGCGATATCGTACAGGCGCAGCTCCGACACGAGAGGGGACATCTTGAGGAGCAGCGACAGCGGCTGCCCGATCCCGCCAGCCGCGCCGAGCAGCGCAACCTTGATCTCGGCGGAAGCCACGGGGGAAACGGTTTGGCGGGAAGCTGCAGCTGGAACTGCGGAGGCGCGCGCGGATAAGATCGCGCGGAGGGGATTGGCGGGAGCCGTGGTTGATGAAACGGACTTCAGCCCATGGAAGGACGCGAAGGATGCGGGCGCGAGCTGTGGGACTGCGGATCTGCGCGCGGATGTGTGGGCCGCCTCGGAGAACGACACAGCGCCGACGGCTGTGTGAGACGCGCAAAGGGCGTTAGCTGCCATGTCTGCTCTCACAGAGGGAAAAAAAGCGGCGATAGAGGATCTGCTGCGTAAAAGGGCGGCTTGATCGATAGATCAAACGGGAATCCACACAAGCAGGTCGAGAATGGTTGTTCGCGAGACAAGGCGAAAATTAAATGATAGAATACGAGTGATTTGTAGCAAAAGTGAGTGGGAAGAGGGATGGGGAGGAGGGGGGGCTTGTGTTGGACGGTGGGAGATGGATCGAGTTGGGATTGTGAGGGGGAGAGGGGTTGAGCGGGGACACGATACAGTAGGAAGGTTCCGTTAGTTTTGTAACGCGAATGAAATACAGCGGGCCTGGTCGACACGTGGGATCACTCGCAGCGTGCTGTACGTCCACGAAAGCAAGATCTGTAGTGGTTACCCTGTCGTTTCAGCTTCCCTAGTGGTCAGGGGTGCTGCTGAATCTCTCTGACGGGTTCGCCCACACATTACATCTGGTTTAGCGACTCGCCACGCATCTTAATGAGTGCCACATCGGCACGCGCGAGAACATTGGGGAACCAATTACTGGGGATCGTCGCCCGCTTCTGTTCCACTTCATCTCGCCCGTGTGGCGTGTTCAAATCAGTGGGTCGCGGCGAGGGCAGTCAGGCCAAAGCAAAGTGCCGCCTTCCAGCACAGAATCTGGATTTTCCTTGCCAAGCTGACTGGTTGCTGAAAACCTCTTGCGGCGCGGAAACAACCAGTAAAAGCAGCCCACCTTATAGAAAGCTGGCCCAATTATGGGATGGAAACAGGTGGTGCGACATGTGGGGACACAAGATTGGGCCGTGCCAGGTCAGGATCGATCGGGAACTTCCACGACACCCAAAAAATCGGACCTCCACGGTGTTAGTAGGTCGTTGGGGGCACTACTCGTTAGGGAGTTCCAGTGCCCATTGGACAAGAGTTTGAAGAATCTGAAGAGAATCAAGTAAAGAGCAGATAGACAACAACTAAAATCAAGTACAAATTGGCTCATAAAAAAGTATTTAGCTCTTATAGGTTGTTCCTCTTTCAGATAAAGCACACGATTTTTCTGAAAGAGATTTAAGCTAATAGAATATTGCAACAGAGATGTTTCCTCTTGTGAACATTGTGGTGTGATAGCAAAGTAGTAGCAGTTTCTTGCATGCCAAATTAGTTCTTACAACAAATGAAAATTTTTGAAAGTGTGTAACACTTTCTAAAAATGTGTATTTTGAAAGCGAAGCTGCTTGTAATGCAGCAATGGCAACGGCGAAGTGCTAGACGCTCTTCGCCAACTATATAGCAGGGGGTGGAGGCCATTTGGCCTCCACCCACGTCTTCGTTTGAAATTTCAAATGCCTTATTTCCCACCCACCCACCCTAGCAAAAATTGCATGTTGTAATTTGTAATGTAGGTACCATATAGATCCTGGACGAGAATGTTGTAATGCCCATTTGAAACGAAGCACGTTGCCATTGCAAACACAAGAAAGCAAGCTTTCTAAATGCATCACAAAGGAACTATCGCGAACATTTGCCGCGAACAGCCTCCTCCACCTGAGTGCCACTTCCGCTCTCCCTATAACAACCCCGACAACAGCGCACTCCTGCTGCTCAACCTCGAGGGATGTTGCTCAATCCTTTCTGCTCAACACTGATCACTTGATCTTGATTTCTTCAAGTTTCGGTATTCTTTAGAGAACCTTGCTAGCATCCACATCCCGGAGAAATCAGTTTCGGCCGTTCGCTTGATCACGTCAATCTGAGCATCTTTTTTGCTCTACGTGTCGAAGGTAGATCTATTTCTTGCAAGTACCCTCTTCATCATTCTCTTTTGTGCAGTATTTTTCACATTCCAATGTCGAATACCCTAATTTGCTGTCGTTGTGCATGCAATATATGGTTCTCGTTCCGTCCAGCAATATATGGTTCCGCTGTTCACAAGCACGCTCATTGTCTTCCCTTGATCGTGATCCTCTTATCTGCTCCCTCTCCCTGCACAGTGCGTCTCGATCCGATCACTCTTCGTCGCAGCCGTCGTGCGACGTCGCCGCGATGGCCACGCCGTCCAAGAGCGGTTTCGTCGTGAGCGGCAAGGCGATCGAGGACATGAAAGTCGCAGAGCTTAAGAGCGTGCTAAAGCGGCAGAATTTGCCGTTGTCGGGCGTTAAGCGAGATTTGGTGGAACGGCTTAGGGTACATTTAGCCCAACAGCAACAGCAGGAAGCGGATCAGAAGACGGCTGATGTGCAACAGCAGCAGCAGCAAGAGGAGAAATTGAAGGAGGTTAAAGCACAAAAGAGCGATTCAGGCTCAGACGTGCAAGAGGCGCCGATTCAGGCGGACGAGGCGGCCAAGGGCGGGGCAACGACAGGGGAGGTTAGCAAGGCGAGCAAGGGAGACGGCGATGCTGTAAACGGTGATGAGGTGTCTCCGGTGGTGCTGTTCCAGGAAGAGAAGGAGGGGACAGAGGGGAAGGACGGGAAGGACGGAAAAGAAGGGATAGAGGAGAAAGAGGATAAGGAAGGTAAAGGAGACGATGATAAGGTTAAGCATGAGGAGCGGGAGCGGCAGGGGAAGGAGGGAGGTCAGCAGGGCGAGGAGGATAAGCCAACGGGATCGGATCGAGGTTCAGAAGAGGTAAGGGCCGCTGATGCTGCTACTGATGGAGGTGGTGAGAGGAGCGCGGCTGCTGCTGCTGCTGCTGCTGGTGGTGCTTCTGCTACCGCTGCTGATGGTGATGGTTCTGTTGCTGCTTCTGGTGCGGGGGGCAAGAGGGAGGAAACCGAAGCGGCTGCAGCGACGACGAAAGGGGACGACCAGGTAACGTTGGATGGGCACACCGAGGGGATAGCTGATACGGGTAAGGGGGATAGTGCGGTGTTAGGTTCTGCCTTAGATGCTCCTGCTGATGCCACTGCCACTGCTGCTGCTCCTGCTCCTGCTGCTGCCGCTCCTCCTCCTGCTTCCCCTCCTGCTGCCTCCCCTGCTGCTGCCTCTGTTCCTTCCGTGGCTGCGCCTGCTGCCGCTGCGGATACCGCCCCTGCTGGCACTGCTGCCACATCTGACGGCCCTGGGGCGCCGGGATCTGGGGTAGGTGCATCTGAGGAGGCCGGAAATGACAAAGGAACCGTCGGATCTGACGCCGAGGGCAAATCGACGGCGCGGGAGGCGGAACCGGGGAAGGCGGAGAAAGGGGGCGAAGGGGCGCGGGGGGAGGGGAGGAAGGAGGAGGAGCAGAGGGATGGAATGGACGTTGACGGAACGGAAGGCAGGGGGGACGGCGAGAAGGCGGAGGAGGGAGAGAAGGAGGGAGAGGAGGAGGGAGAGAAGGAGGGAGAGAAGGGTGAGCGAGCGGCAGAGAAGGACGTTGAGATGAGGGACGCTGCGAATAATGATGAGAGGAATGAGGAGAGGGTTGTGACGAGTGAGGGAAAGAGTGAGGAAAAGAGGGAGGAGAAGAGCGAGGCGAAGGGTGAGAAAGAGGGGACGGCGCGCGAGGAAAGGAGGAGTGACGGGGAAGGGAAGAACCGCGAGAAGGACGAGGAGATGAGAGACGAGGAGGGGAAGGAGGAGGAGGGGAAGGAGGAGGAGGGGCGGGATTTGATGATCGAGGCGGATACCGATCTTGTGGGGGAGCTAGAGGCGGAAGCGGAAGAGGCGGAGGCGGAAGCGGGAGCGCTCGCGAAGCAAGGGCGTGGACTTAGGCGCGGGGGTGCCGCGCTGGCGGAAAGGAAAGCGGGGAAAGAGGAGGGCGCGCGGAGAGAGGAAAGCGCTGCGACGGAGAAGCGGGGGCGGGGGGGGGATTGGCGCGCGCGGGGGTTAATGGGGCGGAAGGGAAGAGAGAGCGCGCAGGGGAGGATGTGGCGGTTGTAGTGCGAAGGAGGGAGGAGCGACCGTCAGGCGGGGGTGGTGAGTGGCATGGCGGATGAATGGGGGGGGGGGGGGGGGGGGAGGGGGAGGGGGAGGGGAGGGTGGCAAATGTGGGGGGGAGTGGGTTTCAAGAATGGTGCGCTGTGTGTATGCGCGGGTGCTTGTGCGCGTCGCTTGTGCTATGCGCGGGCGACATTGTATTGTGCGTGTGTGCGACTGTGCTCTGTTTGACCTTAAACCCGAAACCTCGAACCTCGTCCTGTCTTCCCCATCCACTCCCTTTCCCCCTCCTCTCCCCTCCTTTTCTCCCCATTCGCGCCCCTCCCCTTACCCCTCTCCGCCAACCCCCATCTCATGTTCCCCGCTCCCCCCCCATTCCCCCCTCCTCCCCCCGCATCAGCGGAGGAGTCCCCCCGTCCCCCTGACGCCAAGCGTCTGCGCAGATGGAGCGCGTCCAAAACTTCTGCAGATGGAGCCACCACTTCTGCCGCCACCACTCCTACCGCTGCCGCCGCTCCTGCCACTGCACCAGCAGCCACAGCCGCAGGCGGCGCGGGGGAAACAGGCAAGGCTGCTGGAACGGGCGTGTCCGCACCAGTGTCTGCTGCTGCACCAGGCAAGGCAGCAGAGGCAGGAGACGGAGCAGCAGCAGCAGGGAAGGCGGGATCTGGGGCAGGTGGTGGTGACGGCGCAGCGGGAGCAAGGGCTGTGCCGGGGGGAGGAATGGCGCGCAGCAGCAGTGACGGGAAAGGGGGTGCTGTGGGTGCCGCCGCAGCTGCTGCTGGTGCCGCTGCTGGTGGTAACCGTATAGTGAAGTCGCTCAGTGGACGTGGCAGCGGGCGATTGGTTGGGGCTGGAGCGAGGGAGGCTGCACAAGAGAAAGAAGATGGTATCGTACCTCGTGCTTGTACCCTCTTTGCCTGTGTCTCTCAGTCTCAGGCCTCGATTCATGGATCCTCTATCCTCGTCCTGGCCCTTCTCGCCCTGTCTCTTTTCGCTCCCCCGCTTGTCACTTGCTCCATCCCCCTTGCATCCTTGCTAATTTACCACCCCGTTGGTTTCTCTTTCGTATGCCAATCATTATAAGGGATGCTCCGGCCAAGTACTTGAATTCTTGCGAACAAATGTTGCACAGAAATACAACAAATAAACGTAGCACACAATGAATTCCCTCACCCATCCCTCCTGTCTCCTTTTCCACTGGTTCCACTGTGTGTCCGTGTGTTCGTGTGTGCGTGTGTGTGTGCGTGTGTGTGTGCATGGCAGCGCCGCCGCCAGTGGAGGCGGTGACAGAGTCACTGCGCATAGACAACTTTGTGCGCCCCTTCACGCAGCAGCAGGTGAAGGACCTGCTCGCCAGCAACGGCCGCTCGCTGCAGCACTACTGGATGGACGCCATTCGCACCCACTGCTACGTCACCGTGCGTCAACTCTCCTCCCCTTCCTCCCCTGCCTCCCTGCTGCCCTGCTTCCTTCTTTCTCTTTTGCAATTTGTTTCATTTTCTTGTGCTGCCTAGTTGTTCTGGCAACCTTTTGCTAGCCACCTTAAAGGCTCTTGGTTTGCACAGTGCTCGAGCTCCCACTGCCTCCGTCCCCCAGCACTTCCCACATCCCGCCTTACTTCCTCTACGCTCTCCTGATTGCACCCTTCCTTTCCCCTTCTCCATCCTTACCCTCCCATCCACGGCCCCAACCCCCGTCTCCCTCTCTTCCTGCAGTTTGCATCGGTGGAAGAGGCAAAGGCAGCGCGGTCGGAGGTGTGGGGTTTGCGCTTCCCCTTGAGGGGAGGCAACCTGCTCACAGCCAGATTTGTGTCCAAAGAGGAGGTCCTGGCACGGGTTAACGGCCTTCCGATTCCTCCTCCTGCTCCTGCTGCCGCGGGGGCTGGTGCTGCCGCTGGTGCTGCTGCTGCTGCTGCTGCTGCTGCCAATTCCGCTGCTCCTGCTGGAGCTGCTGCTGCTGCTGTGGATGTCAAACCGGGTGCGCCTAGCGCTGCTGGCACGGGGAAGGAAAGGGCAGGAGCAAAGGGTGCAGAAGCTCCCGCTGCTGCTGAGAGTGAGTCATTCACAGGTCAATTAGATACTCTTGCAGGTCTTCAATTGTCGGTTCATGTTTCTTGCTTTTGGGCTGTCTTGGAATTTGTCCTCCTTTTCATTCATCTTTCTATGACCTCTGCTGTCTAAGTCAGTGATTTCTCTCTCGATTTCTCGCCGCTTCCTTGTTTCTTCCTCTTTCCGTGCACCCCTCCCGTCCCATCAGCCAAGCCAGCAGAGCCCCTTGCAGCAATATCGGCGCAAGACCGGGTTGAAAAGGCAGCAAAAGCCGCGGCAGCAGCAGCCACAGCAGGCACAGCGAGCGCGAGTGAGAGGAGAGCAGCAGGGCCAGGCAGTTCCGGGCCATCAGCCCCTACATCCGGTTCCGCTGCCGCAGCAGCAGCGGCGGCGGCAGCTGCAGCGGCAATGGCAGGCGTGGGTGCAGTGGCAGCTGCAGCAGCGAGGAAAGCAGCAGAGGCAGAGCCAGACCCACTGCCATCGCTGGATGACCTGTTTCGGAGGACCAAGGCCAAGCCGCAGATCTACTTCCTGCCTCTCACAGACGAACAAGTGGCTGTCAAGCTGGCTGTGGCCAATCAGAGGAAGCTGGCTGCCGCTGGTGCTGCTGCTGGGGCAGCTCCCCCTGCTGCTGCTGGTGCTGGTGGTGTAGCAGCCGGTGCTGGTATTGCTGGTTCTGGTGGTCCTGCTGCGGCCGCTGGTGGTGGCGATGCAGGGGCGCATGGTGCTACTGGCAATGGGGTGGAGGAAGCAGGGAATGCAACTGCTGTGAGAGCACGAGGATGAGATCCGAGCACCTTTTCTGGTGCTCGGTTGGAGGTTTGTTTCGCTCGTGTGCCACTCGTGCATGTGTGCATTTGGATGGGTGAGCCTTTTTTCTTCTCCCTCTTCTCACACAGCGTTTGAAGCATCTTGTGTGGTTTAGGGATGCAGCAGGAGCACATATTGTTACCCACCCTACCCTATGTTGGTGGTGTCTTTTTTTAAAGTCATCACGTGCTTGTCTTGTGTTGTTTGTCTTGTGCTCTCTTCGTAGTACGGTATCCCACCACCACTTTGGTACCACTGCCAAAGAATTGATTTGACACCACATAACTAATGAGATATATTTCTTCACTAATTTTGCATGATCCATCTGTACTTTGTTTGCATGTGAATTACCGTAAACCTGTCAGTGGACAATATAGCATCCTATTATCTGGTTGCAACAAATAGTATCCCCCACAGTTTTAGAATGGGTGACTGGATCTCCTAGTGTCGTAGTCTAATTGACCATGAGGTTGGAAATATTCAAGTCGGTACCGCATTCCATTTCTCAAAAACAGAATATTATACATCGTTCTAGAGAATTTTGAAACCTCTGTAGCGGATAAATGGTATTGAGGGTCCTCATTTCCAAAGCGTCAGTTCACAGTCACCACCGCCTAGCAAACCGCTTGTTCGTGGCGAATAGGCAACAACACTGCGGAAGGCGGAAACCCCTCACGGAAGCCTCTTCGCAAATTGTACTGTTGGAAGCTGGCATGGGTTGGTCGCACGGTTTTGCCACTCGCCATGAGTGGTTCCACCGAGCGTTCAAGAGGGCCGCTTCGGCTCCGAGAACCCAAGCCGCGGTGCGGGTCGCTTGAGGCAGCCTTTGATGCACACTTGCTCGCATGTGGCTTCCTCCTGTCGTGAGTTTCGCGAAATGTGTTTCGATAAATTCGCTCTGAAGTTGCTACATCTGTTATAGAGGATCTGACCATTAAACAATGAAAACAGTTTTCGCAAAGTTTTGAGTCCCCACGATAAAAAATAGGGTATCGATCACGTGTTCGCCAGCCTTATGGGTTGTCGAGTCGCTTATTCTTCGCGGCTCGGTTAGCGATCCGAGGAGGAGCAGCTGGCATTGACCCAACACAATTCCTCTGTGGACTCCCGCTTGCTTTGTCCATGTGGGCTGGGGTTTCTGCTTGGCCTAGCATCCTAATCCCTTCCCTCCGTTCCTCGCCTTACCTCACTAGTCTCCACTGACCTTGTGGCTAAGAAAACCATCAGCTACCACACTGCCACTCCTCAAAACTCTTTCGCGGAACAAGGATTGTCGTCTCACTTCACGTTCTTGCCCAGATAAAATTGCTGCTTTCCTGCTCTCAACTATCATCCTGACCCAGCGGTCGGCCCTAGAAACTCTAGGTTCTGTGGAGCCTCTGCCTATTGATTCAATTCATTCTTTAGACCACTCTGTTGACAGGTTTCGGAGCCCCACTATACCTCTAGATCTGCTTGAAGGACCAGAAAGTCGTTAAAGAAGGTTCCTAGATATTGAGGTCTCTGACGCGATTTGCTCATCGTCACCGTCTCTCCTCCACCTGGCCGCATTGCCATTACTAACTTCTTCCTCTTCCCTATAGAATCCTCTTTTAGAATAAGCTCGGAGCATGTTTTCAGCACCAATCTCCCGTTTTGTATCGCGGGATTAGCAAGCTTGTCACGTCGACCGCCCTCCTTCCTCCTCTTGAGCCCTCGACGGGCCCATTTCTGCTCTCACCTCCAAATTAGTCCTGTTAACCTTTTCCCGTGTCTTGTCAGCATCCCTATACTTGACCTTTGAGCGCGTTTTGAGCGCGGCATGGATCCCCTTGACAACGCTTCGGACCCGGCGATACCAGCGAGAGGGAGCAGACCTGGTAGCCGCGGGGGGAGCCGGCCTGGCAGTCGTCCCGGCAGTCGTTCGGGCAGCCGGGCCGGCAGCTTAAGCGGCAGCCCGCGCCACTCGCGGAGCCGTTCCAGCGTGTCTATTGGAAGCGATAGCCTCGGCACGCCCGACGGCTCCCCAACGTCTTCTTCCGCCGCGGGGGCGGCGCACCGCGCGAAATTCAGCCCGGAGCGCCGGCGAGGCGCAATCATGGTGCGCGACACTAGTGTGACGGGAATATCACGGCCCTCGTCGTCCGCTTCTTCGCGCAACGCACGGCTGGACCGACCTCCGCCACTGGTGCGACCAATAAGCGACCCAGAGACTCTTGACGTGGATCTGCAAAGCCCTTCGTCAGACGACGAGATCGGAGACGTTGATCTGATAGCCTACTCTTCGGGCCCGCGACCGCTGCAGCCAACTACCTCGGGAATACCGTCGTCTCCGCCTCCTCTTCTCGCTGACCCGCCCATCGGCGCGGATTATTTCTTCGGCAAACCCAACTCTATCGGCTCCGGAGACGGCGGCTCGGCTGCTGGCGGTGGAGGCCCCAAGTTCCCGCCGTTGAACGGGCGCGGAGGACGGCCAATAGCGAACAAGCCAACGCTTGTCATCCCGCCTGTGATGATCGACGGCGTGACGGTCCCGTCGCCCTCGCCGCAAGAAGCGTCGCCTGACCCGGAAGATATGGCCCCGTCTCCCGCGCCGCTCTTCCATTGGCCGTTCGCCACTAACATGCCGATCATCTCGCCCGGTTTCACGCATCAATCCGTGCAACAGCAGGCTCCCGGTTCCGCCGGGTTCACTCGCGGCGCGGCAACCCGTGCGGACGCGCTTGCGGCGGCCGCCGCCATTGTCGCAGGCCTCGGGGACGACACGATCGAAGGCGGGGGACCCATCGCTGCGCCGCCAGCGCTTCCACGGACGTTGTCGCGAGAAATGTCGCGCGAGCTCTCCCGCGGACTGTCCCGCAGCGGCGGCGGCGGCGGCGGGATGGGGGAGATGGGCGGAGGGCTGCAGCGGCAGCTCTCGCGCGCGCTGTCGACGGAACTGTGGGACATTCCGCTTTCCACCGTGCCGTCGATCTTCTTCTCCGCCACTCCGCGCCGCCAAGCGGCCCCCCCGCCGCCGGTCAACATTGGCGCGACAGTCGCGGCTGACAGCAGCAAGGCGCAAGTGAGTGGCGCACTCCGCGGGTGCAGACACTACCACTAGCCCATTCAGTTAGTCCGAACACACGAGCATTGTTCACGTGTCCATTCCTGAGTTCTTCGCGCTCCAGTCTCTGCTGCGTTTCATTCTCCTTTCCTCCGGTTCACTCTTCCTCTCACCTCTCTCTCTCTCTCACTCTCTACTTCGTGCGCAGAATACATGGTCCGTGTCGCTCTGCGGCGCGTGCGGGCGTCACCCCACGTGTCTGAGCATGGAGGCCGTGCTGTGCCCGTGCATCACGGTGGGCCGAGTCGCTGTGGCCGTCGATCCCGCCTCCTACTCGCACTGCGGAGCCTCCACGTGCTTCTCGCTGCTCTCCTGTATCTTCTCCTGCCATGTGCGTGCGGTCTGCCTCGCCTCGCCTCGCTTCCTCCCTTCCTCTCCCTTCCTCTCCCTTCCTCTCCCTTCCTCTCCCTTCCTCGCCCTTCCCGCCCACCTCTTCCTCTCTGCGCTCGCCCGTTCCCTTCTCTCTCCTTCCGACACTCCGTAAATCCCTCAGCCTCCCTCTTGACTCCCTCTGTTTCCCCCTCGCTCCTTTCCTTCCCTCCTGCTATCCCATCTTAACCTCTTCCCGTCCTCCATCGCTCCCCGTTTCCCACTTCCCCCTTTCCCCTGCCCTCCGCCCTTCCCCTGCGCGCGCGCAGCTCTACTCCGCGACCCTGCGCCACAAGGTGCGGGCCAAGTACGCCATACAGGGCTCAACCTGCGGGGACTGCTGCGCGCACTGCTGCTGCCACGCCTGCGCGCTCATGCAGGAGCTTCACGAGCTGCAGGTTCGTCCCCCCGCGCCCCCCGCGCAATCACCCGCATACGGGGACTCTTGTATGCCGCTCTGTCGCTTGTGTGTCCAGACAGATAGACCTCGCCCCCATTCGTTTCATTCCGCCCGATTCACCTCACTCTATATCTCTTTCTTCCTCCTAGACGCTGTTCTCCTATTACGTCCTTGCCTTCATGTTCTTGCATGTGCTTACAGGTTCCCGCTTGCATCCCGTGTGATAGATTTGCCTGCACCGCTCCCGTCCCAGTCCCTCTTACACATTTCTCTTCGCCCTGCAGGGATAATTTGGCCAGCCTATTGCAAACAAATTTCCGTAGCATCTGCTCTTTCATGCTATGCCTGTGCTACGGAAACTCGCTGCTCACTCTTTCACGACTGTATTTGACTCCCAGATACTCTCTGCCACTTTCTAACTACCCTCCCACTCTCCCTTCTGTGCGTTTCTGCCCTCTCTCTCCCTTCTGTGCGTTTCTGCCTTGTCTCTCCCTTTTCTCCCCCTCCCCTGCAATGCTGTCATCTCACGCACCCATTCAACCCTGCCAACCCGTTCGCCTCTGTTGTTCTTCTCTTGTTAACCCTGTCAACCCTGCCTTTCTTTTTTGCCTCCGCCTCGTGCTTTCCGCATTTCACACTATGTTCACTTTTCAACGTATTTGTGCCTCTCTGCCACTTCGATTCTTATTATCTCTGATCTCTTGTCTCTTTTCACTCTCGCGTTTCTCGCCCTCATTTTGTTGCCCACCTTCTTTGTGCTTGCCACCCTCTTTCTCTTCGCTTCTCGCCCTTTCTCTCTCTTTGCTTCTCGCCCTTTCTCTCTCTTTGCTTCTCGCCCTTTCTCTCTCTTTGCTTCTCGCCCTTTCTCTCTCTTTGCTTCTCGCCCTTTCTCTCTCTTTGCTTCTCGCCCTTTCTCTCTCTTTGCTTCTCGCCCTTTCTCTCTCTTTGCTTCTCGCCCTTTCTCTCTCTTTGCTTCTCGCCCTTCCTCTCTCTTTGCTTCTCGCCCTTCCTCTCTCTTTGCTTCTCGCCCTTCCTCTCTCTTTGCTTCTCGCCCTTCCTCTCTCTTTGCTTCTCGCCCTTCCTCTCCCTTTGCTTCTCGCCCTTCCTCTCCCATTGCTTCTCGCCCTTCCTCTCTCTTCGCTTCTCGCCCTTCCTCTCACTTCGCTTCTCGCCCTTCCTCTCTCTTTGCTTCTCGCCCTTCCTCTCTCTTTGCTTCTCGCCCTTCCTCTCTCTTTCCTTCTCGCCCTTCCTCTCTCTTTCCTTCTCGCCCTTCCTCTCTCTTCGCTTCTCGCCCCCGCTTCTCGCCCTCCCTCCTCTCTCGGCTTCTCGCCCTCCCTCCTCTCTGCTTCTCGCCCTCCCTCCTCTCTCTGCTTCTCGCCCTCCTTCTCTCTGCTTCTCGCCCTCCCTCTCTCTGCTTCTCGCCATCCCTCTCTCTGCTTACGTCGTTTCACCTTATCCTCTATACACTACTTCCTGTCACCATCCCTCGTACTCCCTTACGTCCTTCGTTGTCACTCCCCCCCTCTCTCCTTTATCCACACTCTTTTCACACATCCCTGCACCAATCCGTTTTCCCTCCTTGGCATCTCGAATTGTCTTTCTTCCCTCTTCAATCCCCTTTCCTTCCATTTGTCCCTCCTGATTCACATCACTGCTTCCACTTTGTCTCTTGGGCTTCGCCTCAATATCTTCTTCTACGCTGCTACGCCTGAATCTCTCATCAAATACCTTCGGCTCTCTCTCCTCTTTTTTTAATCTGTGGCATCGACCGCCTTTTCTTTGGATGCTGCTCTCCGCCCTCGTCCGTCCCTCCCTATGCTACTCTCTTCTCCGACTCCCATACCCTTTATGTCTTCATTTCCCCTGGGTTTCCAACTTTGACACCTTCACTCTGTGTCTCCCTTTTCTCTCCTACAAGCCCACCCTTCTCTTTTTTCTCTGATCGCACTCCCTTCTCTCTGGTTGATTCTCAACCATTCGTTGTCTACACGCTAATCATAAATTTCCTCTCGCACCACATTTTTCATATGTCACATGTACTTTTGCACATGTTTTCATCGCACTACTCGCCTCTACTGCTCCTCTCTTCTGTTGCTTTGCTTTCTCCGCCCCTTTTCTTTGCCCTCTCTCTCTCTCTCCCCTCTCGTTGTTTCCTCCGATCCCCCTTCTCCCCCTTCTCCTCCCCTTCTCCTCCCTTCTCCTCCCCCTTCTACTCCCCCTTCTCCTCCCATCCCCCTTCTCCTACCTTCTCCTCCCCCCCTTTCCCCTCCCCTACCCCTCCCTTTCCCCCTCTTCCTGCGTCTCTCCCCCTCAACCACCCCCTCCACCTACACGCGCGCACACCATCCATCACCGCACATCACCGCACATCACCGCACATCACCTCATGTCACCATCACCACGAGCAGGTGCACGGAGATGCGCCGTTCCAAGGAGGCAATTCCAAGAAGGTGGCGCCCATGGAGCAGACCATGCGCCGAGTCACCTCCATCCCCGGCTGATTCAGTCCTCCCAAGAAGTCTCAAATCGGCTCTTCCCGGCACACATCACGCATCACCTCTGCAATCATCTCGTCGACACCTCCTCTTCCTCCTATTCCCTCCTCCTAATTCTAGCCCTCCTCCTCGTCCTCCTCCTGTCCTGCACTCTCCCAGCTACCACCAGTGGAAATCACTGGAAAGCACCTAGACCTACCCTCTCTCCCTCTCCTAACCCATCCCAGCCAAAGACTCTCTGGCATCGCACACCTAGTCACCCGCCCTCCTGCCTCAAATGGCCCATCACACACTCTCTCTCTTGTACTCTATAGCCGTACCAAGTGGGTTCTGAAGAAGCGGCTGTGCCGGGGAAACAAGCAGCAGCAGCAGCAGCAGTGCTGGATAGGAACCGTGGTGCTGGTACCATACCATGCTGGAAGGGAAGGTGTGTTCTGGCTGACTCTCAGGGGAGAGAGCATCAGCACTCACTGCTGCGGCTGTTGCCCCAAAATAAGCTCTAGTACATGAGCCCTTGCCGGAGACACCAAGCCCCTTCTTCCGTTGCTTTCCTACCAACCTAGAGTTTGTTCGTTTCTTAGGTGTCACTACATTGTGGCACGGTCTCTAGATTTTGCAGAAGCCTTGGGTAATGCATGGTATCTATTTGAATGAGTAATTTTGCACTTATTGTGTCATTCAACTGTCACTCCTGGTGGGGTTGGTTGTTTTATTCTTTGGAGCAACGAAGATGCATGTATTGTACTGTACCTACCTAGTTAAATAAACGTACAAGGCAATACAGTGTGTATACTTGCAAGGCATTGGTATGAACATCCATTTTGAGGAGTGGAATACTAACTAGTGGAACCTCACACCACGCCGGCCATTGTGTGTGCACCAGTATCATACCGGTGTGTATCTCAATATCAGATCACATTGGTGACTACACCATCAGTGAAAGAGACTTCAATTCAAAACAATGAGGAGCTTTCTTCTCCTTTCACTTCGTACAACCCAAACACACAGGGAGGAACTAAATCAACATCCATGGCATGTACCCAAAAGAGTTGCATCATCACCATAAACCATACTACTTGTTCCGCATATGCAAGAGATACAAAAATAATATGGACACAAGCCAGAACTACTGTTACCAACAGACGGCTCGTTGCGTGCGAAAGGAATCAGTAGCACCGATAGCTTGGCTGAGGCCAGATTCACAAGTGCATGCACTTGGGGTTTGGCCCCCTCTCTTCCACTCGCCCTCCAAAGGGGTTTCAGCTCCTCCCCACCCACCCAAGGGGACTCAGCCCCTTTCCCCTCACTCACCCACCCAAGGGGACTCAGCCCCTTTCCCCTCACTCACCCACCCAAGGGGACTCAGCCCCTTTCTCCTCACTCACCCACCCAAGGGGACTCAGCCCCTTTTCCCCTCACTCACCCACCCTAGGGGACTCAGCCCCTTTCCCCTCACTCACCCACCCTAGGGAACTCAGCCCCTTTCCCCTCACTCACCCACCCTAGGGGACTCAACCCCTTTCCCCTCACTCACCCACCCAAGGGGACTCAGCCCCTTTCCCCTCACTCACCCACCCTAGAGGACTCAGCCACTTTCCCCTCACTCTCCCACCCAAGGGGACTCAGCCCCTCTCCTTGTCACTCACCCACCCAAGGGGTTTCAGCCCCTTCTTTCTCACTCTCCCACCCAGCCCATCTCACCTTCACCTGCCAGCAGTAGGAGCAGCAGAGAG